TAAGTCTCCCGTGTTTTTTCTGAATTCTTTACATTCATATATTTTTATAGGACATTGACCCATCACATAATTATAACACAATTTGATTAGCCATATCTTTATCAATATGTACCTAATTTGTTTTCAGATCTTTGCTATTACTAAAATAATAAATTTTAAAAAAAACCTTAAAACTTGCCATAGAACAGAAAGATTCTTTATGCTGATATAAAGACTTCTTTTTTTTTTTAGGCAATTAGGGCTAAGTGACTTGCCCAGGGTCACACAGCTAGTAAGTGTCAAGTGTTTGGTCTGAGGTTGGATTTGAACTCGGGTCCTCCTGACTTCAGGGCCAGTGTGCCACCTCGCTGCCCCGTAAAGACTTTTTTGTAGGTAGTTTGAATAACTGCAATAATTATTGTTTAACAGAAAAAGGAAAGAATTCTAAGTGGCTTCTCATTTACAGGTAAACCAAAAATATGTCAGTAAAGTATTATTATGTTGGTATCAATATTACTTTCAGACACACCATTTAATAAGAAGAGAGGTAGCAATATAAAATAGATGAAACAGGTCCAAGACATTCCTTTGCAAGAGAATAATTAACTGAACAAAGCACTTCTCTATCCATGCAAATCACTAATAAGACAGTTCAATTCAACAAACATTTATTAAGCACCTATTATGTGCCATGCAGTGAGCTAGGCCCTAGAGATATTAAGACCATAAAATGAGGAACAATCCCTTCTCTCCATAACATTACATTTTACAGGGAGAGTGAAATGCATAAGCATGTTCTAAATATATACAAAGTAAACAAATATAAATTTACAAGGGGCAAAAACTGGAGGTGGTTTAGATTGGGAAATAAGATGATTCTTAGGTGGAACAAGAAGCATTGGAGTCACTGATAAGTGACATATGGGAAGATGTAGTGAGAATAGATGGACATTTTCATTGAGTAGATAGTATGGGTGTCCAGTTAAGAACTGCAATGTTTAATATATTAGGTCTACCAAGGCATGGTCTCTTCTGTCAAAGTAGATAATAAGAAGATTTTCAGAGTCAACTATCTCACACACACACACACACACACACACACACACACACATGTTTATGTTTACATATACATATATACATATGTACATACGCACATGGGAGTTGATTAGATTATTAAAACAAAAAGTTAAAGAAGAGTATAGATTTTATACATTTAGATGTTAATTGTTTTGTATAGTAAATATTTAGATGAACCAGATGAAAGATAAAGGGGCCTGTCCAATTCAAAAAAAAGAGAAAGAAAAAGTAAAAAAGAGAAAAGAAAGAATCAGCTAACTCAATTGAAGAAAGAAATAAGAAGGAAATAGAGACATCAAGGCAAAGCAGTATTGTATGCTGGATATAGAGTTAGGAAGACCTGTATTTTTTTCTTGCCTCTGATACGTTACATAATCAGAATTTTTTTGAGAGTTGGAAGAAACCTCAGTAGACATTATTCCAATTTGGACACCAAAGGAATCACCACTAAAATGTACTTCCAAATGTTCATCTACCGTCTGAAGACTTCCAAGAAGGGGACACCTACCAAATCACAAGGCAAGCTATTTGATTTTGGACAGATCTAACCATTAGGATTTTTTTTTTCCTTTCTCTGACAATCCTAAACTTACCTCTTTGAAACTTCCATTAGTAGCTATTTGACCCTGGGTAACTAATTTAACCTTTCTAAACCTCAAGTAACTCCCTAAGGCTTTCAATTACTAATGGATGTGTTGCAACTAGATCAGGGTTCACCTTCACTCTGACAAAAAAATAAAAGGGCTGGTCACTCAAAAGACAATTAGGAAAGTGGATGAAATGGTCTCAGGAGATGACCACATCAGATCAGATACATGTGTGGAAAGGCAAAGTTTACTGCTTTATATGCACGTAGCATTAGTTAGTCCACATGCCTTGAGATGGAAGAACAAAGTAAAACAAAAGGAGTTTTAATAAAAGAGTCTTAGAATGTTATAACATCCTTTAATGTACCCTTAAGGGAATGCTAGGCAGGGATAGTATAAAAAAGTTAGAGACAGACAGAGAGAGAAAGAGAGAGAGAGAGACAGAGAGACAGAAAGACAGAGACAGAGAGAGACAGAGAGAGGCAAATTGGTTAGATAGGTTAAAGAGAACAAGAATATTATAGAACATTTATTTCACACATTTGAGGATCACATGCCAAAAGTGCTTAGCAAACTTTAAAGCACTATATAAAAGTCACTTTCAATTAGTATTATTAACTTATTTTTCTCATCTTTTGCAATGGAGTTCCTTTGGAAATGGTTCTGGGACAAGTCATTATTCTATTAGTAGTGTTCATTTGAATTTAATACTATAGGGAGTGTTGCATAGGTGGATAGTAGTTTGCTCTTACTTTCATCATTATCTTTTCGAGTTCTCATCACTCTGACTGTACATTTTTGTATATTCCAATTAAATCACCCATATCAGTTAATGTGGTGAAGATATATACCAGTAGTGCATTGGTTTTACTTAAAACATTTCAAAGTATTTAAATTGTACTCATTTCTTCTGGTATAAAAGAAATACTATGATGGCACATAGTAGAAGTCTGAATAAATAATTACAAAAAGAACACATATTGGGCAGATAATATCTTTCCCAATGGGGTACAGTGGCAATGATGAATTTTTTTTTTACAATTTTTGACCTGCATGACCATGGACAAGTGACAATCTTTCAGGGGCTCAGTTTCCTAAACTGTTAAATAAAGAAGTTGTATATAATGACCTCTAAGTTGTGTCACAGTTCTAAATCTATGTTCCAATGAGTACATGCCTTGTAAAGAAGTACCGCTTACAAAAGTTGTATGTTCTTATTATTGTCAAGGAAGCAGATAGCAACATTGGAGACCCAATGACCACTAAGGTCCCATGGCTTCGATTTAAAATGATGAGAAATTGTAAAAGAATAACAAATCCTATTATTTATTTTTGTTATCGTTCATGAATCTCCCCACTCCCAACAAATTCTACTTCTCATAAAATTGAAGCTATGGTATTGTTAAAAGTAGCCTGGACTTGGAAACAGACTACAGGTTCTCATCTTAGCTCTGGTACTTTCCAGCTGTTTGACCTTGGACAAATAATTTAACACCTCTGAATATCAGTCTTCTCGATTGAATAATGGAGATAATGATACCTGAAGTACCCATGTTATAGAGTTCTGTGAGGATTATATACATAAAGTGCTTTGCAAACTTGAAAGAACTAAGTAAAAATCAGTTATAATTAATATCAATATTATTCTCTATATTTTTCTTCTCACTGTTTTTTGAGTTTCAATAGACCTGGCCCTGGGACAAGTTATCATTTTGCTGTTATTGTTCATATTTAATATTATTTGCACTATTATTGAGGTGGATTATAGTTTTTTTGTTGCTGTTAATGGTATTATTATTATTATTATCATCTCTTCTAATCACTGTCATTCTGACTTTACATCTTTTATCAGCCAATAAATTTACCCAAATCTTTATGATGTCAAAAACTCCTTTACTGTTTCAAAAGAAACATCCCAGATGGTTAGGGCATTGCTATTCCAATTCTTGTACAGAATTACCCTCAGGTAACAAAAGAAATTATGATGAAGAGATGTGATTTACAATAATCTCAATAGCAAAACAGAAGGGCTTTATAAAATTTCCAGTTTACTGATTTCTCACATACAATGCTTACAATTATCAACAAATGAAGTATGTTTGGGTACTTGACTGTAAATTGCAATTTGTCCCCATGCCAATTAAAACAGCAGTCTGCCACTGTCTTACACAGTACAGAAGTTCTCAGATATTATTACCATCAAAAAGATGCCAAAAATAGAAATATTGCTTTTATTCATTCATAAACTGGAATTCAGTTTACCAGTATTGAAATGGAGACAGATTTCCTAGATCTATGCCAAAGCTATATTCTAGCTCCGGTGAAAAAATGAAAGTTAAGTCCCTTTTACCCTGATAGTGTTAGGTTAAAGTTAAAAATTGAACTCAAGAATCTCTTGTTTTTCGTTGGTAAACACTAACAACTAAGTGCCCAAGAAACAAGGGGTGTGCTAAGTGTGCGTGAGACTGTATCTAAAAGTGGGACACACCAATGTGCTAGACTATGAGTAAAAGTGGGACACCCACATGCCAATCTTCTCTGTTTCATTCTAATTTAAGTATATGCACTACAAAGGAACATGCAAATATGATATCTCTAAATATGTTGTGAATAGCTGGGTGACCTCTCTGCTTTAGTTTCCTTACCTGTAAAATAAAAATAAACAAAATATAAATGATATAGATAAGTAATAGCTATTATTGCTAGACTAGTTGCTTTTTTGGGTTGTTATGAAAGGATAAAATGCATTACACATTTTGAAAACTAAGAACTTTAAGTGTTGATTTCATTTATGACTTTAAATTTTAAAAAATAAAATACAAGTAGATATTAAGCCACTTAGATATTGATGGGATTTATATGAGCAATATTGAATAAGATGAACTGTGTTTTTGTTAAAATGTTTCTTTCCTTGATCAACCATCAAATTTTAATCTGCCTTTGGAACATGCTTGTGACACATTGAGGGATGGAGAAAAGAAGGAAGAAACGAAGCAGGAAAGAAAGAAGGAACAATCTCTTTACCATGGAACTTATAATGCTTCCGAGTGAAATTGTCTAAAATTTTTGTTCAAAGAATTCTATCCAACATAGGGAGATTTCTCTACAGGAAAAGCAGATTGTGAAGTTAGACAACTAGAATGATTCTTCTGAATTAGTCTTCTACACAATGGTTTTTGTTGCCTTTTTTATTTTTTTTATTTAAATGTGAATTTCCATAAATATCAAACATATTCAAACATTTATAATCTATGTTTAACCCAATCATTATTTAATAAATTAGTATTTATTCTTCAAAGTAGGCTTATATTTCTATCCTGTTTTTCTTTCTAATTTTTATTTTATTGCATAGTCAACTTTACATATAGTAATTAAAATTCATGCCTTTCTAATTCTATTAATAGCTTCTTTGCATTTACCTGCAGGAACATAAAATGTGCAAAGTTTTCCTGATTGCTTTCAGGTGACCACATGTGTTAGCTCAGCTAATGGGTGCTTTGAGAATGGTGAACTCCCTTGATGATCCTGTTGATCATGTGTGATTCAGTGCTTGGGCACTCTGTCAATGTCAAAAGAGTTCTTGTATTGGCTATTCCACAGGAACAGACAATGACTCAGTGATCTTCTAAAAAGGAGTCATTCCTCCTCTGCCTGTCTTTCTTCCACCTGCCAGGTGACGTCAAGTATTTTTAGGATATCCTATGATGAGATAGAGAAAGGTCACTCATCATTTTTCCCACTCTAGCCGCCATAAAGCAGTGAATACATGGCAACTAAAGCATATATTATATCTAATCAAGCCTGAGTCTGGATCTGAGTGTTAACTGTATGTGCTTTGTTTCTTGGGTATAAGCAAGCAAGCATTAACTTCATTATCTAGTCTTAGAGGCAACTTTACGAGATCTAGAAAGTTCTGCCATCTTGTGTTCAACGGTCAGAGGGGACAGGATGCATTTAAAATTTCTGCATTAGAAAAGATGGCCAACAATAAGAAGACAAGACATCATTTGCTGGAACAAAAGTCATAAACATTAAGAGCATTACGCAGAGCCAAAGCCAAATGTAACCAGGCCTGCTTAGTTGTCACCAAAACAGCTTCATGATCCAATTAGGTTTAAGTCTCAACCTTCACAAAGTATATAACCAATATGATCGTGGTTGTTGGCTTAGTTTGCTTAAGTTGTTGTCATCATATGATCGGTTTAACAGCAGTTATAAGTTATTGAATTACATTTACTTTTTTTTTTTCCAAAGTGAGCTGGCTAAAAAACCTTGTGTTTAACATTGATTTTGTTTACAGGAAGAAATACCAGCTTCATTCCTGATTTACATTGTACATTGAATATCTTCTTACTCTCTTACTTTAGGAAGACCCTACATATGACCAAAGGCTAATATTGAAATTATTTTGTTCTTGGAGTAACGGAATAATAAATTGATGACTATAAGAAAAGGATTCTGACCTTCCATTTAACTGATCAGACTCCCCAAGGACTAAATAGGCTGAACCACAAAAATGAGTCTCAAATTAAAGGAGCCCTTTAGTAGAGAGGGAAGGGTACAGCACCTCAGGATTTGATCTCAACAGTACTTCTCATTTAAAACTTTTATTTATAACTTACATGTTATTTTGACATTAGCTGTTTAAAGATTTTAGAAAGATAGACAACATGGCGCTGTGGAAAGATGACTGGATTTCGAGTCATATCACCTACGATAGTGTTCAGCTCTTCCACTTACCTCATGTCTGAGCTGAGGGAATTCACCTAACCTCTCTGGGCCTCAATACCCTCATCTGTAAAATGAGAAAAAAGGTATCATTGACCTCTAAGGTCCCTTATAGCTCTGTTTAATCTTACAATATGATTTTAAGAAAAGGAAACCATTCATAAGGCATAATGTAAGAACAACTAGGTGGTACAGCAGATGGAGCACCATGCCTGGAGTTAGGAAGACCTGAATTCAAATCTGGCTTCAAACACTTACTAGCTGTGTGACTCTAGGCAGGTCACCTAACCCTATTTACATCAGTTTCTTCATCAGCAAAATGAACTGGAGAAGGAAATGGATCACAAAGAATTGGACATGACTGAAAGAACTGAACAATAACAAGGACCAATATTTTATGGATATTAGAAGTATTAATAGATGCAGTAATAATAAATCACACTTGCACAGTATTTTAAGGTTCACAGGATATTTTCCTTGAAATATGTCTAGTATTTTCCAATTACCTCACAAGGAAACTGAGGATCAGAGTATCAAAATAGCTTGCCCAATGCCACATAGTAAAGGGGCAGAGTGGGGACTATGATTTCAGATTTGGTTGTCTTTCTATTACATTGAACTGCCTGTAGAATCACAGAATTATTGAAATAGAGTTAAATAGGACATTAGTATCCAACACATATAGGAAAGAAATCTGTACTCTAATAGAGCCCAAAAGTGGTTATTCAGACTCTGATAGAACAACTCCAAGGAAGAGAAACTCACTTTGCTTCAGGTCAGTTTGTTTTGTTTTGTTTTGTTTTGTTTTGTTTTGTTTTCCTGGATATCAAACCCAGATTGGCTTCTTGACAACTTTGAGCTATCCTGGAACTATTCCTAGTTCTGCTTTCTGAAGCCAAAAAGAGCAAGTCTATTACTTCTTCCACATAAGAGACCTTCAAATTCATGAAGATAGATGCTCTGTTTCCCTGGAGGCTTCTCTTCTCTAAGTTAAACTTTCCCAGTCATTCAACTTACCCTCATCTCACATGGACTCAAGACCTTTTGCTAGCTTTGCTGTCTTCTTGTTGACAGTCTAATTTATTATTGTTGTTCATAAACCTTTGCTCTTAGAACTAAATACAATACTACAAATGAGGTCATATGAGGGTTATTGTTCAGTCATTTTCAGTCATATGCTCTTTATGATTCTATTTGGATTCTCTTGGCAAAGATACTGGAGTAGATTTCCATTTCCTTTTCTAACTCATTTTACAGATGAGGAAACTGAGACAGAACAGAGTTAGTGACTTGCAACTAGTAAGGTGTCTGAGGCTAGATTTGAACTGAAGAAGATGAGTCTTACTAACTACAGGCCCAGCACTCTATCTTTTATTCCACCTGACTGCCCTTCATGTGAGGGAAGGGACTATAAAAGGAGACAATTAGTTCCCTATTTCTGGAAGTTATGACACTCTAAATGTAGCCCAATGGAGTATTAGCTGTTTCGTTTTAAGATAATGAAACATAAAGTAACATGGTATAGTATTAACAGTGTGTTGTTAAATGTTAACCAGTGCACCAGTGTTTAAATCTCAGCTCTATCAGTAACTACCCATCAAATAATTTCTTTTCTCCCTTCCTCACTTTCCTCACTTGTAAAATGAGGAAGTTGGAGTAGTAAACTTATGAAGTCTCTTTAATCTCTTAATCTAAGATCGTGTGGATTCTATGAGTTTAAGTGAGGAAATACAGCTACAGAACATCATATGCTCTCAGTAGCAGTCACTATATTTTCTTATTTTATGATTGTCTTTGTTAAAAGGGAGGATTCAGTATAGGAGTGAGGCATAACCAGAAGTGGTTGCTATGTTAAAAAAAAAAGTATTAATATATCCTTATATAGGGGCCATGGGAAGAATGCTGGGAATGAGATCAAACATGATTTTATTAGAATAAGGATTCACTAATGAAAAACACCCTCAATCATCATAGATTATTATTTGTTCTGCAATGTATGATCTTAGAAAGTTGGCTAAAACATTGAGTTTAACTGAATTATCTAAGGTCACATAGCCAGTAGGTGTTAGAAACAGAACTTGAACCCAGATCTTTCTGACTGAGATTAGCTCTCCATCCATGTTGCCTCCTAGAATTATTTTGTCATAATTAATTCACTGGGTGCTCTTGAAATAATTATTCAGTTTGCAATTGATTTTAATAAAGACTATTTTGATTTCATTAGATTCAAGGTAGCCAAATTAATGAACTTAATTCTAGTTTTTGGTTTAGTTTGATCCAACTACCTCCCTGTTACCAAGGACAGCAAAAGTACTCATTGAGAAACTGATAAATTTTGAAGACGGTCTCTCTGATTTTTTAAAAACTTAATATGAAATACAGCATAACATTAGAATAGCCAGGCTCCTATGAAAATGTTAGCCATTCAGAAAGTCATTGGAAAGTTTTGTGTTTCACAAAAGTCCCAGCTTGTAGGAGTTTGCAAAAGAATGAAAGCTGTTCTATATTACCAGAGCAGAGCCCTTGTACTGGCAAGTAATAAGTGTTAACCAATTGAAAATCTGTGTCCTGCTGATGTACACTATCTCCTGCTGTCGACTTTGTTGTTTTAGGGTTGTTGTTTCTTTTTTTCTTCCTCTTTAACAAACTGTCTTATTTGAAGCTTGACAACCTCTGTGTAAAGATCACTGCACAAATGCCTACCAAAGCATGCTGTCATGTACAAATATATGCCCTCCTTGTAAAAGATTAATTTTCCTTGTGCTTTCTACAAACCAACAATTATGAATATACCTCCTCTTTTTAAACCACAAATCACAATTGGCAATGTCTGGAAAATATAATAACTCAAACTCAAGATGAATAAATCCCCAACCTTCTCAAATAAAATGTACTCATTTCATACTAAATGTTTAATCAATTTGTTCTTCTATATCCCAGATGGCTCCATCATTTTTGGCTCATGAGAAGGTAGTGGTTTTTTAATTGGCCTTTGTGGAAAGCTGAAATTTTCTCTGAATGGGTTGGCCTTCTGAATAGCATCTGTGGCTTTACAGGGCTCAAGAAGTTTGAAGATAATCTTTTCTGCTAGATCAGACTCATTGTTCCCCTCCATTCCATTATTCTAAACTTTAAAATGTGAATTATCTGATTCAAATGAAATTACAAGGAGAATTGTATTCTTGAAATGGAGAATTTTCCATCTATTTTATTGCCAGCAGTGGAAAATCACTTAGTTTAATGAAATTCTATTCACAATGAAAATACCACCTCCAAGTAAATGAGGAAAAGATAGGAATAAAAAATGGAAAATAATCCAGAATGGAAATATTTATGGGAAGTTGAAAAAAAAAATGCCTGTTTCACCCTGGTAAAAAAAAAAATTACTTGAAATAAGATGTTCTAAGGCTGGGCCTATATTAATGGCTAGAATTAAATTTAAAAAAAGCCTTCCAATTTAATTGTTTGGACCTATGAAATCAACATGCTATCTATAAACAAGTTAATTAAAAGCAAGTATTAGTTTTGGATCCGATATAACTGTATCTTAACACAGCTAGATCATGTTTGCAGGTTTTTAAAAAGATAGATGCATGAATAAATTGGAGATGTGTTATGCACCACAAACTCAACATATTTGAAAATGAAATTATCATCTTTTCCTCAAATCTCTCTTTTTCCCTGCTTCTTTGTTTCAATTAATGACATCACCATCCACTCAATTAACCAGGCTAAGTACCTTGAAGTCATCTTTGATTCTTAACTCTTCCTGATTCCCTGTATCTTGTGAGTTATAAAAACAAGAAATTCAACATTCTACAAATTCATTAAGTGCTTCCTGAGTGCCAGGTACTATGATTGATGTTTACAATACAGCCATAGACAAAAATTGGATCTAAGTAAAATCTATTCTGGATGAGAGTCTGACCAAAGGAATGAAGAAGGAATATGGAAAGGAAGAAGAAAAATATGGAATGGTGAATGGCCCAATTTATCTAGTGACTGAAAGTAGTATGAGATTAGGCTAAATAAGACTATTGAAGCATAAATATATAGGGCCTCTAATACTATAATTCTTCCCTCTCATTTCATTTCAATTGTTGTCTACATCATTAGTCTCCAGGCCTTACCCACTTATCTAAGCTATACCTGTATCTACACCTACCTAATGTGTATATCTCTATCTCATCTATATCTCTATGTGTATCTATATAAAAAGATACAGATATAAATAGGTATATACTTAAAGTATATAGATAGACATATATGTGTATAACACTAATAATGATTAATAGTTAATAATAGCTAATATTTATTTAGTACTTACTATGTGCCAGGCACAGTTCTAAGTGCTTTACAAATTTTTTTTAGTTCTCACAACTTGAGAGATAGTTGCTATTAAGTCATCTTACAGATGAGGAAACTGAAGTTAAACAGAAGTTAAGTAACTTGCCCAGGGTCACATAGCTAATAAGTGTCTGAAACAGGATTTAAACTCAAGTCTTCTCTATTCCAGGCCCAGAGCTTTACCCACTATATCACATAGCTGACCTAGCTATATGTGTATGTGTGTTTCTTATATGTAAATAGTTTTGGTTTTGTTTTTGCACGAGCTCTTACTTTTTAAAATGTGAGTTCCATGAAGTCAGGAACAATGATTTTGCCTTTCTTTGTATCCTCCATGCTTAACACAGTGCCTAGAACAAACTTAATAATGTTTGTTTGCTTTATTTTTGCATTATCAATAAGTTATTTCCTGACTTAAAATGATTTATTTTTATTTTCTAATTTGATAATGCTGCCTATTAATAACTACATCAATGAAAATGTTAATGCTGTCTAGGCATGAGATTTGCAGACTTGTAGGCTCTAGGTGGTACAGATAAAAAATGCTTGTTTTTATTCCTTTTGACCAGAGTCATATTTTTATAAATTATTTTTGCCCTCACCTAGTTCCTCTTTTACATGGAAGTTACTGAAAATCAAAGGATATGTTTATTTAATTTTGAGCATCTTATAGAGCTTTTACAGAACTCCAATTTTTCATCCTCTGCAACAGATGCTGATGAATAAAATGTAATTGTTTTTGTTGTGGTCTTTTTTGCAAGTTGTTATCATGAGCATTATGACATGACCAAATGTCTCAAGGAATAATGTTTCTTATTGCCTCGGATGATAATTAAACTATTTTTGACTTCTTTGTCTCTCCAATGAGAACTAGTAAGTTATCCTTTATTTTAGCTATACTTTCTATCTTCTGGTTTATAGTTAGACATTGATATGATACGGTTCCTCCAGGACTGTGTACAATCATTGGTCTTTGGACAAGTAAACGGAACTATATTAAGTATATCATATTTATGGTAAGAACAGCTAAGTAAATCTTTATGAATGACCTAAATTCTATATTATTCTGAGCACACACTGCCCTCATTTTCCCCTGTCACTGCAGAATTGGAAGGGAGTCAAACAGGACATTGGGCAATTTTATATTTTACTGTTTTTCATGAGTTGCAATAGCCAAAGAATTCATCACTAAATCACCAGTCTACTTTTGTTGAACTCCATTATTAGCTAAAGTGGTTTTTAGAAATTAAATATAGTCTATTGCTGAGACTATAATCAAAGCCTTTGGTGCATGGTCTTTCAGGCTCACTAATATGCTAAAATAAAGCATTTCAGGGGGACTTTGCAATGGTTATCAGTATCTATTTCATATCCACAGAGTTAAATCAAAAGCTACATGAAGGCAGAGCTTGTATTTCATTCTACCTTTATATTTCTTTCAATATTACCAAGAAGAATGTTCTGCAAACAGTGAATTCTTAATAACTGTTTGTTGGACTTGAACAGAAAGAGAGAGGGGTACAGAATTTCAGACTATATGAATTATATGAACCAGGGCAAACCATAAAGGATGAATAGGAGAGACCACATATCAAGTAGAAAAGTCAATCTTTATCGTATGAATTTTTATAAAATTCTAATTAAGATAACAATTAAACAATATAACCTTGACATTTAAATATTGAATCTGACTTAATTCGCTTACGTTTTATGAGAATCACTATTCCTTGCCACCTAAATTCAGTCAACCTATA